AGAGTATTCTTACAGAATGTATTACATGTTGACAACAAAAGTAAATGCCCTACAGGCTTACAACTTTCCAAGTTAACACTTGGTTACAAAAAGGAGAGTACTAACTCTACACAAAATATGCCCTTGGCTTGATATACATGTAATACAAAAAGTAATCAAAAAGGTTTCTCAGCCACTAAGCCTCCCAAGCTACATCCTTGGAGGTGGCATGTCACCTGCACCTGAAAATGATGTCCCAAATAGGGTGAGCCAACGCCCAGTAGAGATATGCTAAACATAGTATGAGTAATAACTAAAACATTAGCACTTGATAAATGTTTAACTCATATAAACCAATATACAGTACAATCCTATTTCATAATCCTTTAGTTATCCAATTCTCAACTTATAAACACGGCTCAGAACCTGGCCAAACAACTTAAGTGAGACTACATCTCATACCAACAATACTTCAAACTGCCATTTTACGAAAATTGCGTCCGCGGGATTCGGCACCCATTTATAATTATTTTCTTGTGGCCATTTTACAGAAATTTCATCCACGGGACTCGGCACCCATGTATAGATATTTTCGATTTGCCATTTTATGGAAATTTCATCCGCGGGACTCGGCACCCATGTATAGATATTTTCGATTTGCCATTTTATAGAAATTTCATCCGCATGATTCGGCACCCATGTATAATTATTTTCGAATTGCCATTTTACGGAACTTTCATTCGCGGGATTCGGCACCCATGTATTCAAATACTCATCATATACAATGACCAATCAATATACGTTTTCGTTGTATTATTCCAACCGTCATACTCAATTACCTACTCAAATTGATTAGTTTTAATTCACCTAATCATCATGCAGTGTCTACAACAATCAAGACTATCCTCCACCGATAGCCCAAAGCAATTATTTTTAAGCAGATAATAAATGCACCAACAGATAAATTATCAATAATTCTCAAAGGTGTGTGATTTTTAAGTCTAACTCCACTATTCTACTACGTAATGAGCCAATTTCATTATTCCCAACTCAATTTCATATAACCACACTTTTCCCAAATTAATCATACCAATTAATTTATACAACCAATTAGGGTTTTCGGAAATTTCATTCGCGGGATTCGGCACCCATGTATTCAAATACTCATCATATACAATGACCAATCAATACACGTTTTCGTTGTATTATTCCAACCGTCATACTCAATTACCTACTCAAATTGATTAGTTTTAATTCACCTAATCAACATGCAGTGTCTATAACAATTAAGACTATTCTCCACGGATAGCCCAAAGCAGTTATTTCTAAACAGATAATAAATGTACCAACAGATAAATTATCAATAATTCTCAAAGGTGTGTGATTTTTAAGTCTAACTCCACTATTCTACTACGTAATGAGCCAATTTCATTATTCCCAACTCAATTTCATATTTTCATAATAGATGTCATTAATTACACTAATGACCCAAATATACCCAAACATGGTATTTTTCCCCTTTCCTCAACATTGACCCAAAGGTCTAAATATTATTAACAACGTCAATAACCTCTATTTTTAGACCCAAAACACACATGTTTGAATCAAAAGAACAAAACCCCTCTTTCCAACATAACACATCTCAAACCCTAACTTCCCAAAACCAAACTATTTATACAAAAAACTCAACATTTAGGTTAAAGCCCATAAAGATGAGTAGTTATCTCTACCTCAAATTTGGAGACCAAATGGAGAAGTTGAAGAAAACTTGAAGTGCTCCAAACCAAGAGATTTTCGAATCAAAGTGAAGCTCACACCAATCACAACCTTTTTTACAAAGGGACTAGGCTAGATACACACTAGAACTAGATTAAACCTTAGAGAGAAGGTGAAATGTAGTGAGAGAAGCTCTAAAAATGGGTTTTTGAAAAGTAAGAGAGAGAAATAAAGTGTGAAAAGTGATTTAAAATTACCCAGCTGCCATCTGATATACGACTAGTCCGCTCAAGCAGAGAATAGGACGCTCGAGCGTCAAGCACAAAAAACTAAACCCGCTCGAGCGTCAAGAAACAACTGCAAAACACACCCGCTTCGGCGCAAAGGGGAACCCGCTCCAGCGCAACCCGCTCCAGCGTAAGGAAAACCGCTCGAGCGTGAAAAACACATCTGCAGAACTTTAGCAGACAGACAAACTACTGAAGGTGTGCAAACTCCGCTCGAGCGCGAAGGGATCTGCTCGAGCGGACCACAAAAAATCTGGGCAACAAGAAATGGGACTAAAGCTCAACCAACCTGTTCGAAACACGCCCAAGACATTTCTAAACTCCAATTCAAAGCATTAAATGACGGAAATGAAATACAGACAACCACAACTATCAACGAAATCGAGTCCGAAATACAGTAAATAAGGAAGGAAAAACTGGGATCGCTATACAAAGAGTGAAAGAAGTGGGAACATGACAGCCCTATATGCTCTGAAATGTCATGGTAAATGATGCCAAATCATGTACATGTCACAAATGAAGCATGCTATAGTACTTAAATCTCAAAGCTAGTAAGACCAATTGCACTACAACTATGCAATACATCAAGCATATGGCTAAGGCAACCCAAAACAGTCGTAGGGCATGTCAAAATGATGCTAAAACATGTATGGAAGGAAGCCAAAATAAGCTAGCATGGTGAGCATAGAGCACGAAATATGCAAGGCCAAAAGGGAGGATTACACTACACCTACTAAGACCAAGCATGAGATGGCTTCGCCAACAAAAATCAGAGTTATATCATGGAAAAATAACCCCAAAAACACATTGAAATGATAACTCGCAAGCTTAGGCATGAAGGCATACACAATAACTCATGCTTAAGGCATAAAGGACCAACTCTCCAATGCGTTGAAAGAGTGAAAGATATGAATGCATAGCCACACTACATGCACTAAAATCACATATAAAATGATGCCAAATCATGAAAATAGTCCAAGCAATACATGCTAATGGCTTCAATACACAAAGCTAATGAGCTAGATTGAACCATGGCTATACAAAGCAATGCATGCATGACTGAAACAACACAAATCAAACCTTAAGCATGCTAAAACATGACCAAAAGTTTGTTGAAGTTACGCCAAAATCATGTTAGAATGATGGTCCAAAAGTAAGGTGTACGTTAGGCCAATGAATGGAATTGCACTACAAGTGCATGGAGCATGCAAGATGCTAACAAACTAACCCAAAACAGAGTTATGGCATGCTAAAACAACACAAAAAACCTATTGAGATGGACCCAAAACATGCTAGAAAGACATGTTACCTCATAAGGCATACAAGGCTAGTTTACAAAATTTACACTACAAGTGTATTAAGCATGTAAGGAGTGATCAAGACAACCAAAAACAGTGATATGCCATGTCAAAATAACCCCAAATACATGCTAAGATAGAGCCAACATAAGCTTAACAAACATGCTTAAACATGAGGCAAATGAAGAAAGCATCCAAGATACAAGGAGATGGGATGACCCTCTCCTATTTGGGACCTCAAAACACTACTTCTACCACTGAAATTCCTCTGAGTTTTAGTGGTGAGAAGGCCAAAAGGAGGTGGTCCCAATAGCTTAAAAGGAAAGCATAAAACAAGGCCAAACAAGGCACAAGAAGGGGTAGACCACCCCAACACCAACAAGGCCTTAAACAAACATTTCAAGCATGCAAAATCAGAACTTTTTGCAGTAGAAAATCAAGCCAAAATAAGCATGAAAATAGGTCTAAAAGCTTAAACAAAAACAAGGGTTTTAAGGGTTAGAAACTCACCCTTGTAGAACCACTTTAGAGCAACAACTCCAGCAGCTATTTTGGATCAAAACCAGTCCAAAAACTCCAAAACCAACCTCAAAAGGCCTCAACAACAAAAGGGTGGTGTTTGAGTGTGTGTTTGTGTGCAATAGTATGATGAAAATGCACTTTCAAGCACAAATATGAAGAGAAGATGCAAGATAGATACAAATATGTATGTATAACTCTCAAGCAAGATTTTCTGAACCTAAGGCATGAGGAGGGAGGTTCTCTTTTATAGAGAACCAAAGGTTAAGCTTGTTGAACAAGCTTAAGGCCTAAAGCCATCCCTCCATACATGTGTATGGAGGATGGTTTCTGTGCCCTCCACCTGTTACAGCTGGCTAGAAAATATCTCCAAAAAGGTGCTGGAAAGCTGTCGACCACTTAAAGTGGTCGGCCAGCTACTTACACTAGTCGGCCGACCAATAGAAGTGGTCGGCCAGGGAAGAAAGTGGTCGGCCATGGGGGAGGAGTGGTCTGCACACTGAAAGCAAGGTGGTGGTGTGGTGGCTATTGGTTGTCCAAAGACCAAGAAAACCAGTTGGCCGACCAGAAAACTGCCTGTCAGGCAGGAAAAGTGGTCTCCAAGGGGAAGAACTGGTCTTCCACCCTTATTCCACCCTCCAAGCAAGGAAAACAAGGTTTGTGCCAAAAACAAACCAAAAAGGATGCAAGACAAGAGTCTGGGGGACAAGGCGTGCAGCCAGAAGCCTTGAAAACTAGTTAACGAGCACCAAAAATGGTCTACGAGGGAAAAGTAGTCTACAACCACAAAAAGTGGTCTCCCAGACCACAGTGTCCCTCTAGGCAAGGTAAAAAAGGCATGGTTTGAAAACCAAGCCAAGAGGAGAACGTTAAGCGGTCCCGAGACAAGGCGCGCGGCCGAAGGCTCTGGAAATCGGAAACTAGTCTCAAAGCAGGAAAAGTGGTCTACGACCACAAAAAGGTGGTCTACAGACCTCCTTCTCCTTCCAGGGAAGGGAAACAAGGCTTGGTCCACAAACCAAGCCAAAACACAAAGAGTTCAGAGGCCCGGAGGCAAGGCACTCAGCCGAAAACTCCGGAAACTCGAAACGAGCACAACACATGCACTATCACCGAGCGCTCAATCGATGACGTCTGAGTCTTAAAATGGGTCAAAAATGGGTAAAAAATGGGGTGTCTACACATGATAACGATCTGAATCTGTGTTCTATTTACATAACTCTTGCTTAGGTTTCGATTTTCATCGACAATCTAAGTTCTCATATGTTCCATAAACGATGGCTCGAGCTTGGTTTGGATGATTTGGATTTGATCTAGGTTTATGCTTCTCTCGGGTATTGTTGTTTTATATTTTTTTAGTTCTCTCAAGTATTCGGCTTCAATAGTTTTGATCTAGAACTATATTTGATTTAAATAGATTTTCTTGTTTGTTCCACAAATAGGTAGCTAAGAAGTTTTCTATGTTTTTCTCTTACTTTTTCTCTATTTCTTCTTTTTATTCGATGATCTCACTACCTGTGTGTTTATATAGTTTTATATGTTTATCTAAGACATCTTTGAAGAACATTAATCATCACTGGTTTTGTTGGTTTTCTTGAACAACGATTAGTGCTTAGATTGATGACTGGTTTTTGGTCATATAGTACTAAGACCTAATTTGGGTATCTGTTATTGAATTCTTTGTGTTTTCTCAATGAATTTACTCCTTTATAGCCAAGGGGAAGACGATTGAGAATAAGTTTCAGGAAGAGAAACAATTTGAGAACTTGAGCTATTAGAGGGAAGAGGGCATCTACGACAGAAGGGTTAGATTGTTAAATTCAGTGAAATTGATACTGTAGAGCAGGTAAGCTTAATAGGACCAATCTGTTATTTCTGTTTGCTTCGTCTTTGTATTTTGGTTGCAATTCATGCAGAATGAATGACCCAACAAGGGATTGGATTGGCCTAATTTTAAGGTTAATTATGGCTTTCGTGACCTAGGATTATAATTGCTCTTGGTTGGACTGTTAGAGTATGAACAATAAAAAAATGGTAGGAATGAATGGTAAAAGAGTAATAGTCAATCATAGAATTCGACTATAGAATTAATAATTGTTAATGAATAATGCGATTTTTCCTTTAAAATTTTGATGGCTAATTATATTATTGCATTTCAAAGTGTTAACGACTATTTCTCCACAGGCAGAGAATGTTGTTGTCTCACAGGAGCAGGTAATTTTTTCATTGCCTATACATTCGGTATCTAATGTAATTGAAGTTGGAAATCACAGAAACTGATGTGGCAGTCTCTTATTCAGGTTCTTGTTAGAAAAGTTATTGAGCTGCATGATAAGTATACGGAATATGTGAATGATTGTTTTGCAAACCACACTCTATTTCACAAGGTTTGTTTCGGAGAGTTGTGTTTCATGGTTCAAGTCCATTGCTGATAATTATACATTTATATTTATAAAGTTAACCTTATTGGTTCTTCCGTAGGCCCTGAAAGAGGCTTTTGAGGTTTTCTGCAACAAACAAGTTTTTGGCTACTCTAGTGCAGAGCTGCTGGCTTCATTCTGTGATAATATTCTCAACAAGGGTGGGAATGAAAAATTAAATGATGAAGCCATTGAGGACACATTAGATAAGGTGGCCTTCCTGTTTCTTTAATATCAATTTCTGTTGCATCTATTGACTTGTCATGGTAATTTCTAACGTGTTCATTTTATTCCTGCAAGTAGTAAAGTTGCTTGCTTATGTTAGTGATAAAGACCTTTATGCTCAATTCTACAGGTAAGCTGTCTGCTTCCTTCATATGTTTCAATTCTTTCTTGTAAAGGGATTTTTTAGGTCCCTCCTCCTACTACTACTACTACTACTTTATTACTATAAAATTTTTGTATATAAGAGGAAATAACTAAACAGTGGAGTAGTGGGATTTTGTTTCCAAAATAATGATAAAGTTTATAAATTTTAATTATTAAATTATAAATTTTTTCATGTATAAGTAACTATTTTTGTGAAATTTGTAATTTTTCCTATATATAATATGTATATAACTCCTCGTGTAGTGTGTGTTTACATGTTTCCCATGCGGGAATTGCAATTGATAGTACAAAATGGATGATAGTTTCAAGTTACAGAGTTCACAACTAGCCATGAGCTAATGTTTACCAGAAAGTCTATTGTCCAATAACAGTATTAAGAATAGATCTATGGTGTAGATTCAAACTTGTTGATGTGGAACCATAGCATGAAAAAATCTTGCCATTCATCACAAATAAGTCTTTTTGTCTGGGACTCTAGAACTGCTCAATTTTTACACATATATATGATATATGGTGGTGTGTGGGAGAGCCTGTGAGCCCTACTGGACTGCACACATATGCAACACAAACCCTACTTGTTAGTTGTTTGCATTCATAATACCCAAAACTCAATCATGTACCGTATTGTACCCTCTCTGACTTACTACGTACATTTCAAGCTCAAAAAAGTTTAGAGAGAGGTAAATTGAATTCACACAAAATTTTCACCCGGATTTCTTATTGGTAGAAGTCTGGTTTCTTACTGATAAGAGTCTCATTTCAGAAGATTCAGGCAAAAAATTTGTGTGAATGAATCATTAATAAACCTTCTCATATGAAGGTGGCGGGATGGTGAGTTTATTGCAATTACTTTATTGCCTCTTTTTTTTTTTTGGCGCTTTTAGTTTGTGCTTTAATTGACATTTCATTGTTTTGCTAGTCAATTACTTTATTTGGGAAATATCTCTGGCATCACAACGCAACATCTAGAATGGGTAACTTAGTTTCTCTCTCAGTGTCAAATTGTCACTAGGGCATTTGATTTTAGCATTGAATGGTGAACAATCTATAATTCTTTCCAAGAGGGCCAAGACTAATGGCGTGTTTGGTTTGGGGATTTGGAGATGAATTTGGAAAGAGAAATGGAAAAGGTAGGTGAAATGTGAATAAAACATACTTATATTTCACATAGTTTCACACACCTTGTCCTTTTCCCTTTCCAAATCCCTTCCGAAATCCCCCAACCAAACACAGCATAAATGATTCAAAAGATATAGAACTTGTAACTAACTTAGAAAGTTTTCTGGTCACTTCTCATGCAATGTAAGCATCCGTGGTTCAAATGAAAATATTCATTTGGTTTTGGTCCCAAGAGTTTCATTACTTGATTGATAGCTATCCTTGTTTAATACTACTTTCTCATTGTCCTGAATCAATCTTCCGTCAATTCAACAGTTTCTAGGTTTGTGATGCAGTATCTTGTACATCCAATTTTAATTGTGATTCAAGCAAAGAAGATTATTTATAGCCAATGTGAATAAGGTAACGCTACTCTGAAATTACTAAATATAGAACATTGACAGACCCTCTTGGTAATCGTTGATGGATCAATTCTTTGAGATGTATATATACATGTGTGGTTTTAATATAAAATTGTTCTCAACTATCAATTTTAGACCACAACTGCACTAGCAAAGGCTATGAAGCCATTTTGTTTAGTGTTTTCCCTCTTTTTCGAAGCAAAATGTGAAACAGGAAAAGAAAATATGATGAGAAACTAATTCACTTTAGGCATGATTTATTCTTTACCTTAGAGTTGATTTGATTCCATTAGATTCACTTCCATTAAAGCACAATTTAATTTCTTAAAAACACAAAAAAGAAAAAAGGAAAAATTAAAAAAAAAATAGAAATTAAACACCAAATGCTAGATGGATCCTTTAATTGATTCTGTTGTTTGTCTTCTGAATTTATATAATGCTTGACTAATGGGATGTGGTGCAGTTCAACATAGTTCAATGCTACACAGATAAAAGTTAATTTGTTACCTAGACTTCATCACACTTAGACAAACCACAAATTCAATCTAACCAAAACACTTCTATATACATATATAGATATCGTTTACATTGGTCGTGTAATTTATTTTAGCTGATTCTGTTTCTCTCATATCTATCAGCAACCAACTCCTTTTCTCTTTCCATTATTGTACCCTTTTGGTTGTTTTGTTTCGGTTCAAAACATGAGTAAAGAAGAGTTATTGAAGATCCAAGTACCCTTTTATAAATGATATATATACTTATATACATATATGATCCTAGGGTATATAAATTTGTCTGTATGGGGAATTTTGAATTCAATGCTTATATAAATTTGTTTTTAATGGATAACTTCTCTTGTTTTCTATTAAATTTTTTTTCTTTACGAAATTGCCAAGTCAATTGAATTCGATTGAATTTAGGATTTGATTTTATACAAGTACCGTGGATGATTTTATTACATGGATTCCATTTGGTGACTTCGTTTGTTGTATAATTTAATCCTCGTCTACAAAATTAGGTACTATATTGTTTAGTTGTACACACATGGAAGTTCTTAATTGTGTACTTTGATCATAATACTATGTTCTGTTGCCATTTCCATTTTAATTATTCATTGTTATGTAACACTCTGCTTGGGTGCTGAGAACTCTAAAAGGAAAAGAGAGAGGGAAGGAAAAAGTTGACTATTTTTTGAATCTTCTCCATCTCTTTTCTCTCCCTATTTATACACATATATGTGTTGTGTATCTGTGTTCTAAATCCTTCTGAAATTTAGGAATTTAAATGTAAATCCTCGATATCATTCATAGAAATTACAATTCATCCACCGTTTATGATTAAATAATATTATATCTATGGAGTTTGAGAGATGAAAGGTCTATTGTTGAACATGGAGAAGAGAAATGTTGCAAACCGGAGGGAGCATCTGATTTTACTACTTGCTAACATCCATATCCGGAAAATTCCTAAGCAAACAAATGTGTTGCAGGTACGTATGGCATTCCATACTTAAGCCTTTTTTTTTTTTTTATAATGATTTGCTCTTAAATTTGAAATTTGAATTCATTTATGGTGTTAGTTGGGAGATGAAGTTATCCATGAACTGATGCAGAAGTCTTTTAAGCCAATTGTCTTGTTTTTAATTTTTTTTTTTGTTTATTTCTGTGCATTTGTTCATGTAGTGTCAATAAGTTTAAAAGATGCAAGAAGGCATATTATTTGACAACATTGTGAAGGATTCATTTCTAAATATTTGTCTCTCGCATCGTTCAGGAATAGACCGAATTCAAACCATGACATTTAACAAAATTTTGTTCAACAACGTTTACAACATGCATGTTCAGCTTACTATAATTTCTTGATAATGTCTAATAATGTTTTTATTATATCCAAAAAACTTATTTTGTTTTAAGTGCAGGCATTGGGAGTACCACCTTAGCAGCCATGGTGGAAAGTGAACTAATATTATGTAGTATGTCATGATCAGCTCATGTTTGTAAATATTTTTAATTTTTTGTTATGTCATAAATTTTCATTGGTCAAATTTGTATTTTTGTAAAAATATTTATGGCTTAATTGGTTCCAATTTATTTTGAATGTTAAAGGTGATCAAATGTTTGAGTTATTGTGAATTGTGTAATTTGAATTTTGCTTTTGTGGGTTTTTTTTTTCTTTTTTTTTTTTAAAATTTGAGGAAGGAATTCATATTTTGATTAGATTTTGTTGTTTTATTGTAAATTTATTTGGAAAAAATTCTAATTAGGTTCAGATATTTTTTTTATTTTGAAAAAAAAGCTTTTAGCAACGTTTTAATAAAAACACCACTACGGTTAGTATGACGTCATTTGTAAGTAGGGAACCTTCTATGTTAGCGTTTAAAAAAACGCTGCAAAAGATCTTGTACGGCGTTTATAAAATGTCGCTAAGTTATAGCAATGGCCGCATCCTCAACGTAATTTTAAAACGCCAGTATATGTTTTGGCGACGATTTTGATAGCTTTAGCGACATTTTTGAAACGCCTGTAAAAGCCAATTTTCCTGCGATGGAATGAGTTAATATAAGTGGCTAAAGAAAATTGTTAAAAAGCATACCATTGTTTTGTACCTTATAGCCAAGAGATTATGTCATATTTGTATTTTCAATATAATTATGGATACAAATATAGTCTTTGGAGTCAAATATGTTTATGAGTTATCACGAGGGGTTAGGATTTCTCACGAGGGATGAGGTGAAGGCTTCTAGTTGCAGACTATTATAGAGAGAGACTTCTAGTTGCTTGAAGTAACATATTGTCAGAGAGGGAGTGTGTGGGAGTGATATTTCGTTGGGTTAGGATTTCTCACGAGGGATGAGGTGAAGGCTTCTAGTTGCAGATTATTATAGAGAGAGACTTCTAGTTGCTTGTAATAACTTATTGTCAGAGAGGGAGTGTGGGGGAGTGATATTTCGTTGTGGCTGAAGAGATCATAGTGTTAACCCTTATGGTGGGTAACTTGAGGGCTGCAATAAGAACGCAACACATGGAGACAAGATATATTAATGTATTATATCGGTTGGGTTGAGTTTAGGTACATTGATCAAATTCGCCCAATTTTAGAGTAAATTAAGAATTAAATTATAAGAATCGGCTCTAAAAAAATTATAACTATAATCGAATCATTAAACTATGGAGTCGGATAAGAACTGAATTATAAAAATCGGTTAGTTTGATTCGATTTTGCGGTTCTATAAATTTTATATAACAATAAAAATGATATATATTTTATATTAGTAAACAAATTAATAATAATTAATTTGGTTGATTTGGTTAGAGTTTATCAATTTCACAATGAAAGTTACTATTCAAATCTTGTAAGAAACATTTTATATTCTAAGTTTTACATAAAAAATAAAAAATAAAAAAAAATACATCATGATCCGATTCAGTTCGGAGCCATAGCCAAAACTAACACACACCGAAATTAATAAAAACGAGACCAAACCAGCTGTTTATTGGTTCCATTGATTTTTTTGTACACCCTAATTGAGCTGTATATTTTTTTTTGAATGAAACCCATTACTCGATTGTGACTTTGGGAAAAATGATTTCCTCTACCCAAGGCCAACCATACAACATTAGAAACCACGTGTCATTTGTATGATACAAAAAATGAAATATAAGAATTACTAATATAATCTGTTCAAATAAAATTTTACAGGTATACTAAATGCGAGGAATAGATACGTCGTATGTCCAAAATAAAAAGGTATATATTCTTGTTGAAATGCCCCCCCCCCAGATTATTCTTCTTCTTCTTCTTCTTCTTCTTCTTCTTCTTCTTCTTCTTCTTCTTCTTCTTCTTCTTCTTCTTCTTCTTCTTCTTCTTCTTCTTCTTCTTCTTCTTCTTCTTCTTCTTCTTCTTCTTCTTCTTCTTCTTCTTCTTCTTCTTCTTCTTCTTCTTCTTCTTCTTCTTCTTCTTCTTCTTCTTCTTCTTCTTCTTCTTCTTCTTCTTCTTCTTCTTCTTCTTCTTCTTCTTCTTCTTCTTCTTCTTCTTCTTCTTCTTCTTCTTCTTCTTCTTCTTCTTCTTCTTCTTCTTCTTCTTCTTCTTCTTCTTCTTCTTCTTCTTCTTCTTCTTCTTCTTCTTCTTCTTCTTCTTCTTCTTCTTCTTCTTCTTCTTCTTCTTCTTCTTCTTCTTCTTCTTCTTCTTCTTCTTCTTCTTCTTCTTCTTCTTCTTCTTCTTCTTCTTCTTCTTCTTCTTCTTCTTCTTCTTCTTCTTCTTCTTCTTCTTCTTCTTCTTCTTCTTCTTCTTCTTCTTCTTCTTCTTCTTCTTCTTCTTCTTCTTCTTCTTCTTCTTCTTCTTCTTCTTCTTCTTCTTCTTCTTCTTCTTCTTCTTCTTCTTCTTCTTCTTCTTCTTCTTCTTCTTCTTCTTCTTCTTCTTCTTCTTCTTCTTCTTCTTCTTCTTCTTCTTCTTCTTCTTCTTCTTCTTCTTCTTCTTCTTCTTCTTCTTCTTCTTCTTCTTCTTCTTCTTCTTCTTCTTCTTCTTCTTCTTCTTCTTCTTCTTCTTCTTCTTCTTCTTCTTCTTCTTCTTCTTCTTCTTCTTCTTCTTCTTCTTCTTCTTCTTCTTCTTCTTCTTCTTCTTCTTCTTCTTCTTCTTCTTCTTCTTCTTCTTCTTCTTCTTCTTCTTCTTCTTCTTCTTCTTCTTCTTCTTCTTCTTCTTCTTCTTCTTCTTCTTCTTCTTCTTCTTCTTCTTCTTCTTCTTCTTCTTCTTCTTCTTCTTCTTCTTCTTCTTCTTCTTCTTCTTCTTCTTCTTCTTCTTCTTCTTCTTCTTCTTCTTCTTCTTCTTCTTCTTCTTCTTCTTCTTCTTCTTCTTCTTCTTCTTCTTCTTCTTCTTCTTCTTCTTCTTCTTCTTCTTCTTCTTCTTCTTCTTCTTCTTCTTCTTCTTCTTCTTCTTCTTCTTCTTCTTCTTCTTCTTCTTCTTCTTCTTCTTCTTCTTCTTCTTCTTCTTCTTCTTCTTCTTCTTCTTCTTCTTCTTCTTCTTCTTCTTCTTCTTCTTCTTCTTCTTCTTCTTCTTCTTCTTCTTCTTCTTCTTCTTCTTCTTCTTCTTCTTCTTCTTCTTCTTCTTCTTCTTCTTCTTCTTCTTCTTCTTCTTCTTCTTCTTCTTCTTCTTCTTCTTCTTCTTCTTCTTCTTCTTCTTCTTCTTCTTCTTCTTCTTCTTCTTCTTCTTCTTCTTCTTCTTCTTCTTCTTCTTCTTCTTCTTCTTCTTCTTCTTCTTCTTCTTCTTCTTCTTCTTCTTCTTCTTCTTCTTCTTCTTCTTCTTCTTCTTCTTCTTCTTCTTCTTCTTCTTCTTCTTCTTCTTCTTCTTCTTCTTCTTCTTCTTCTTCTTCTTCTTCTTCTTCTTCTTCTTCTTCTTCTTCTTCTTCTTCTTCTTCTTCTTCTTCTTCTTCTTCTTCTTCTTCTTCTTCTTCTTCTTCTTCTTCTTCTTCTTCTTCTTCTTCTTCTTCTTCTTCTTCTTCTTCTTCTTCTTCTTCTTCTTCTTCTTCTTCTTCTTCTTCTTCTTCTTCTTCTTCTTCTTCTTCTTCTTCTTCTTCTTCTTCTTCTTCTTCTTCTTCTTCTTCTTCTTCTTCTTCTTCTTCTTCTTTTCTTCTCCCTTCTTCTTCTTCTTCTTCTTCTTCTTCTTCTTCGTTCTGCAAAACCAGGGAAGAAAAAAAAACAAAAACAAAATCGACACCAAAACGACGTCGTTTTGATGTCGAGCCGCGTTTCGAGCCGCGACATTCGAGTTACGTAGCATGATCGTAATTAAATAGACAAGCTGGACAACAACAATCCACAATTCTATGACGAACTACTATACTTTGGACAGCAAAAAAATTATGATATGAGTTAGAATTTTTTTTTTTTTTTTTCGTACTCTTGAGAGCACAAACCTTTATTGCTACCATGATTGACATCACATATCCAAAAGGTTCATGTAGCTATTTTTTTGTTCAAAGATACACATTCCCACTGGTTTAACATGTGAATAAATAGTGACATTAATTTACAAACTTGATTTCTGATTGACATGACCTCTATTAATTGTTGAGATAGAGTCACATTATTAGAAAGAGATTTAGCCCTCATGTAGAAATTCTTTTTTAAGTTAAAAAATTAAAAAGTTATTAAATTAATTAAAAAATTAATAATTTATACTAAAAAGTTAAAAATTTTATTTTTTTTCTATTTTTTACACATTTTTTTGTAAAAAAGTCAAACAGTCATCTCAAACATACTAATTTTTTAATTCATATTTTAATTAAATAATCAAAAAATTATTAAATTAGCATGTTTTTAAACGAGGCTTTATTTAAGACATTAGGCTTTTTTTGTTCAAAAATGCTAGAGGCTCCAAAAATTTTATCAAAAATTTTACCAAATATCCCACATGAGTGTGGGTCCCACATCTATGTAAGACATTTGGTAAAATTTTTAATAGAATATTTGAGATCTCTAACATTACTCTTTTTTATTTTTTATCTTCTTATTTTTAATGCATTAAATGTACGTACTTGTGAGAGATTTGTCGACTCCACAATTTGCAAGACTAATGTTAAGATTCATAAGACTCACATTTAATGCATTGGACAAGTATTCGCACTAGATAATCATCTCACGTCTAATCTGTTGTAAGTTTTTTTTTTCAATACATTAAACCTAGTGTATGTGAAAGGCATGTTGCTCCCACAATTTATGAGACCATTACATGATTTAGAAAGTTCTCATTGCATTTGGTGCATTTGATAGATGTTTTTACGGAACTGCTGCAGAGGTCTAATTAGAATTGTTGTAGTATAGTTCTAATGAGCTGTCTATAAATAAAAATAAAAAAATAAAAAAAATAATGAAGTAAAAGACAAAAAAGAAGAAAGAAAAAGACAAATTAGAGCTCTTTTAGAGCTTTTTTTTTAGAGGTCTAAATCATTTTCCATGTTTTTATTAGTCAGAGTATGGGAATACTCTCTAGAGCTTCTCTCTTTAACTTTTTCTCTCTCTAGAAACGATCATTATTGAGACCTCAAACTCTAGCAAGCAACGGCTGGAAAAAGAATGTTCCACGGAGGAGGAAGATCACCTGATCAGAAGCA